AATTCTGCATTTGAAGTTGAAGGTTTTAAAGAAATTTTCAGAAATAAGGGAGTCAAGTTTCCAGAACTTGATCAGGCTATGAGTTTATGGATAGAAAATATGACAGCAAATGGTGTTGTCTTAACGGATTTATTAATATAAGAAAAGGCAAGATTTTTTGCCAATGCATTTAATATATAAGAAAATAAGTTAGTTTTTTTCTAATGGTTGGCTATATAAATTCAAGAAGCGTAATAATATTTATAAGTATCATATACACAGGGAGTCTAAAAGTGCACCATTAGAATCTCTCCCAGAAGAACGAAAAAAATTACAATCACTTCTAAGTAGATATACTCTTGATCAGATTTACAATATTGATGAAACGGTAAGTCTTTAATTTATTTTTATATTATATGCGCTAATACAATATCTAATTTATTATTATCAAAATAACATTAAAGGGCCTTTTTTATCGAATGTCTCCTAATCAAACACTTTTCACTAAACCTGTTCCTGGTAGAAAGAAAGACAAATCAAGAATTACAGTTCTTCTTGGTACTAATGCAATAGGGACAGATAAACTTAAACCATAGGTAATTGGAAACGTAAAACGCCTAAGGCCTCTTTCAAAAATTAACTTAGAATGCCTTCTGGTCCATTATCATGGAAACCCAAAAGCATGGATGAACTCCTTAACGTTTGAAGAAGTGCTTCATGAATTGGATAGTTATTTTAGAATGCAAAATAAAAAAATTCTACTTTTGATTGATAATGCTCCATCTCATTCCAATTTATATTATTCGTCAACTTTAGAAATTGAGCAAGATAATCAAAATGATGCTGATGAAGAAGGTAATTATGAGAATGAATTAAGTGAGCACAATGATGAATCAAGAGATCATGATAGTGGTTCAAGAGGTCGTGGATCAAGAGATCGCGGTAATAGATCAAGAGGCTGAGATCATAGTGGTGGTGAACCAAGAGGTCGTGGTAATGAGTTAAGAGATCATGGTAGTGGATTAAGAGGTCGTAGTAGTGGATTAGAAGGACATGGTAGAGGTCGTAGTGGTGGATCAGGAGGACGTGATAAAGGTCATAGTGGTGGATTAGAAGGACATGGTAGAGGTCGTGGTGGTGGATCAAGTTATGATGAACATTGAGGTCTGACTGTACTTACTTTAAATAATATATAAAAATAGAGTAATTTTAGTAATGCAAATTTTATATGAATTTGTTTTAAACCTGTTATATATTATATGAAAAAATGCTAAAAAAAATTTCTAAAGTCATAAAAAATAAGCATAAAAAATTTAACTGAATCAAATTTAACTAAACTATTAAGCATAATCAACTATTAAATATAATTGTAAATCTTATTTTATTAAACATAAAAAAGTTGCTATTAATTACACTAAGCAAAATGAAAAGAACAAAATAGCACGCTATTTTAGAGTTAATATCACTATGATTGGATATTAGATGAAGGCAAATTCTAATTAAATAAATATAATAAACTAAATAGTAAGTGAATTAGTTTTAATTGAAAAGTTTTTTATCTTAAGCTGAAAAATAATTATATGAGTAGATCATTGAGCAAAGAAAGTAAAATCTAATATAGTTAACACTCAATATAACGAAGTAAGCATTTTTGTTATAAGAAAATTCATTAATATAATACAGTTGTATCTCTATATAGTCACTCTCTATATAAGTACAGCCTCTATATATTCAACAAAATTTTTGCATCTAAATTTTTAATTAAATAAATGACCTCTATATAGTCACAATATGATTATAATCACAATCATACTAAATATATGCGTTTGAACTCCTTTTTTTAATTTCTATATAGTTATATTATATAATTATACTATAAATATCTATATTAATAATCGATCATTAAAGATTTTTTTTAAGAAACTACTTCATTTATATGATATTAATAATGATAAATTTACCAATTTCACTAATATTATTTTTTACTTTACAATTAAGTCATGATAAATTTATCAACTTTTTCAACTTTTATTTTTTCAGCCAAATACTTGTTGGGAAATTACCTAATAACTATTAATAAATAAATAATAAACGTGTTTAAAAACTTTACCTTATTTTTTTTTCAAAATGTTTGTTGTTTCAAGTGTAAAAAAAATATGTACTATAAGTGAGGATATAAAGCAATAAATATATGTGTATATTACTAAACCTGAGAATAAAAATAACAAATTGCTGATTACTTTAACCAGCAATACTAAGGTCTTCATATTAACCTTTCAACAATCTCCAAGATTTTAGAAAAAAAAGCTAAGTGACTTACATTAGTCTTAACATCAGTTAGTAAAAATACTTTTTATTATAGAGAAGTTAAATACCCATAAATTAAAAAGCATTAGGATTATAGATTAAAAATGCAAATGCTAACAATCTTCTAGTTTCAGAAATGATGATTAAAGAGAAGGCATTTTATTCACAGAAATTTAATATTTTACATGAAAGTATATTCTTTTCAAATAGCTGGATAGAAAATTTAAAAAACATAATAATCTTCATTACTATTACTTATATAATAAAGCAAATAGTGCACCATTAGAAATTCTTACAAAGGAAAGAAAGAAGTTGCAAATAATTTTACAAGATTATACACTTGATAATACAGTAGCGGTCATAAGTATCTGACTGCCTGAGATCATCCAAAATTATTATATAACTACCCCTTAAATTTTTCAGAAATATAATGTAACACAATACATGATCACCT